TCAGAATGGTATTAATAGACCCAGGAATTTTAGGCTAGGCCATGCAGGGCCATGTGTGAATGTTAGCATGTGATTTTCTTAGCTCCCATCCAAGGGGTCCAACTTAAATTGAAAACCAAGCAGATCTCAGCCAAGAGAAGCAAGAGGCAGAGCTGGCCTCCTACGGGCAGGGGAGGTGAGAAACAGCACAGGGGAGAAGGGGGATCGAGTGCCATGGGACTCACAGGTATGCCGAGAGCCAGGTCAGCTGAACACCTGCAAAGAGCAGAGAGCATTCCAGAAAGTAGAGGGAAGGAGTTACTTTCTTGCCCTCTTACCTCATCTTACTTCCTTGTGCTCCGACCCAAAGGGGACCAGAAACTATATAGTTTGTAAGCTTAAGGAGAAGGGACATGTGGGGAAGGATTGAGGGAGGAACACATTCCCTCCCACCAGCAGTGGGCCTGGCTGGGAGAGGTTAGAAACTTACCTCCATTCTAAGTGGCAGTTTATACTAGGGCATGGGATTGAACATTCTTTTTTTTTTTTTTTGAGAGGTTTTCACTATGGGGCACATGTGCTCGCCAGACAGAGAGAGACACAGAGACAGAAAGCGAGAAATCACCCCCCGGGGGGATGGTCACGCCACAATCCCTTCTCCTCCATTCTCCTCTCGGGATCTTGGGCACGCATGCACATGCGCCCGGCGCGAGTTTTAAGCCACCGGGTCCGGGACGCGAACCACGGTCAACTACGTGGGAGTCCAGCAACATAGCCATTACGCTAACTGCTGGTCCCCTGGGATTGAACATTCTGACTTCTATAAATTGAGACAGCTTGTGAATTGAAATGTCTGAGGCAGTATGTTAACCAAGAATACCCATAAAAATGATGGGGTTTGCCTGAGTTTTTGCATAGAATGAGGAAAAGAGTTGGACCTAGCATGAACCTACAATTGCATCTTACAAGTCTTCTTGTTCTGCTGACCTATGTATTACTCCAGAGACAAAAACGAGGCACTATTGTACTTGTTCTGCAATAAGGAAAGTCATCTTGTCTATATCGTCACTCAATATTTTTCCCTGCCAGGTGTCTGATTTTTTATTAATTCTTTCTCCTTAAAAACCTTCTTCATGTTGGTTAAAGTACTGGACTCCCACATGGCTGACCACAGTTTGAATACTGGACCTGGTGCTTTGCTTTCTCACTTTCTCTCTCTGGTGAGTGCACATGCCCTATAGCAAATTAAAATAATAATAATAATAATAATAATAATAATAATAAATAATTCTTTAAAAAATTAAAAAAAAAAAAACACCTTCTTGGTGTTAACTGTATGGCACTGTTAGAAGTTAGATGGAGAAAACACCCAGGAAGGAATGAAGTGGCTTTTACATTCCTGTTTCCTAAGGCTGTCTCTGGGCCTACAATGTTTTGATTGTATAAACTTGAAATAAAGAGAGTTGATAGAAAATTGCCTGATAAGAAAGTGTTTCAGTGTCAACGTGAGTGTTAAAAAAACTATCTTGGGCCAGCAGAAGGTGTGGTGGTCGAGGCTCAGGATTCCCACATGGCCAGCCATGGTTCAAGTCCCAGACCTGGTGGCTTGCTTTTCATGTTCTCTCTCTCTGGTGAATTACAATAATAATAAATACAATTAAATAAATAATTATCCAACAAAAACCTAATCTATTCAGGGCCAAGTATTGTGGCATATTTTATGCATGAGTTGGGGAAACTTTCTTTTTTGAAAAAGCAAGAACAGGGAACCAGCAGTTAGCGTAATGGCTATGTCGCTGGATTCCCACGTAGTCGACCGCGGTTCGTGTCCCGGACCCAGTGGCTTAAAACTCACGCCGGGCGCGTGTGCGTGCGTGCCCAAGATCCCGAGAGGAGAATGGAGGAGAAGGGATTGCGGCGTGACCATCCCCCCTGGGGGTGATTTCTCGCTTTCTGTCTCTATGTCTCTCTCTGTCTGTCTGGCGAGCGCACGCGCCCTACAGTGAAAATCTCTCAAAAAAAAAAAAAAAGCAAGAACACACTGTTAGAGCTTTCCAATTATTAGAACTTTTTTTTTTGGTGGGGGGGCAGACAAATTATACTAGATGAAGCATTCTCTTTGGTATTTAAGGAAGGCTCATTTGCAAGTTTATACTTTTTATATTCATCTATTGTTTGATTTTAGTTTTTTGATGTTTGTAAACTTTCCCATTTTATATTCATGTCTGTGTCAGCCACCTCGATGGCACACGAATTTGTTTTTGTTGCTAAAGAAGCAAATAAACATGTGAACATTTAATCTTCCAGTAATGGAATCGGAAACAAAAATCTCAGCAACTTACAATGCTGTTCAGAGACGTTTTCCCGCTGCCTGTTGTGAGAAGTTAGGGTATGTAAAATAAATGATGTATGGAGCTGTAGGAATGCGACTTTTCCAGACTACCTTATGTCTAAGGAACATTAAACATAGGGTTCTCGTTTAGCAAATAAATAACCATTCATTTCAATGGCTGCATAGTCTGGACTTTCGTGCATATTTTTGCAAAGATAAGGAGAGGCCATTAGGGATTTAATATAAAATAAATCGCCAAGGGGTCTTCTTGTAGTCCTAGTCTTTCTGCCACATGGTGTGTTACTAATGTGCATAAATGGGCTTAAATGAATTTGTTATCTGTATTACATTTGCAGTATGTATATATTTATATATTATTTTTTAATTGTGTTTAAAAATAAAACATTAAATACATCATTTTGGAGAGTTGAGAACGTAGAATACGTAAATCAATCAGCTTCAATTAGTATTAAAAATGTCAGTATACTAGAATTGCCTGTGGGTGTATTTACCCCACAGAGTTTAATGTATTTTAGTTTTGTCATCTACGAGGTAGCCGTATGGTTAATTTGTCACCTTATAAAAGAGACCACTACCATCCAGGCTCGATTAATGGCATGATGCTTACGCGCCATTGAAAGTGTCCGTATCTTAGTTGTTTTATTGATGCCCTGGGTCAGATTCTGATGTTGTCTGTACGCAGTACTGTTGGCTTCGACTAACCAAGGAACTGGCTGCTTTACTTCCTTCTTGAATTATTCTTACTACATTTACAGTTGTAGAAAGCAAGTGGCAGGGAATATTTTGTATCATTCTAAGCTAATTCATTATATTTATTATTGTACTGATGATGCATTGGCCCTGAGAGTTTTCCTTTAGACATTTTTTTCTACAAAATAAGCGAAAATTAATAAATTATAATCTGGTAAAGCTTAAAAGATAGGTACGTTTTTCTTTAAATTCAATTCTGAAATGATTCCAAATTATTTTTTTTTCTCTTTTTTTAAAGAATCATTTTTATTTAATTTTGTTTATTATTATATTTTTAATTTGACGAGAGAGAGAGGGGAAGTGAGAAAGGAAACTTCCAGGTCTGAGACTCGAACTGTGGAATGAGAGTCCAGCGCCTACCGACCTCCCAAATTGACTTGATAACATTTTAAAATATAGTTACTCATCTCAAGAAGAAAGCTAGACGTCAGCCCAGTAGAAATAGTTTTTATTAAAGAAATCATCATTTTAAGAAATTAGAGATGCTAATTAATTTTTTATTCCTTTACATCAATAATCTGATAAGTGAGGGGCCTATAGGTGGCATGGTATTTAAGGTGCAGGACTCCCTCATGGCCAACCCTAGTTTGAGTCCTGAACCTGGTGGCTTGCTGTCTCACTTTCCCTTTCTCTCTCTCTAGTCAAATTTTAAAAATAATAATAATAACAAATAAAATTAAATAAATAATTTTTAAAATAATCATCGTCATCTGATAAGTGATGTTGAATCGTTGTATTCATGCTGGATTTTCTAGATCCATTTTATATCCTGAGCATAGACTATGATATAAATGTATGCTTCTAATATTTTTTTTCTGCTATCAATTTTATTTGAGGCTGTCACTTTCCAAATGAGTGAAAACTTCTAAAGTGCATGCAACTAATATTTTATTTCAAGCAGTCTTAATGAAACAGTTATGTGTAGAAATATCATTTAATGAAAATATTTATTAGAAAACTGTTAGGTGTTGGTTGGTAGTTTTCACTTGTTTCTGTTTCTGAACATAAGTGAAATCACTATTTTATAATCTAAGACAAAAAGGGCAGCTGGTAAGCATGTGTGTGTAACCTTTGCATTTGACTCGTAGAGAAAATGCTACTTATTTTGACTTCTCTAAATTTGACCAATTTATCATTTGGGGGTTGTTATTCTTGCTTTTATTACTGCTTTACTGAAGATGTTTATGGGGCATGGGCTCGAACAGCAGGAGGTGTTTTTTGAGAAATGTTAAGGGTAAAATATATCTTGTACTTTATTCATCTGTTATTCAGTGTTTGTTTCCACTCTTTGATGGCATGAACACAGTCCAGCACTTATGAGTAATTTTAAAATAGATGAAAATCACCTTTGCTTCTCTGTCAGTCCAGGTGAACAGGGCGAGCCTCACCGCAGAGATGTATTCTGTGTCCAGAGGACTAAAGTCATTGTCTTCCTTTTCTGAAGCACTGAGAGATAGAAAACTTATTTAACCTCACACAGATTAGCAAGTGCTTTAGGGTGACAAAGGTAAAAAAGAAGAGTCAGAGGGCCAGCAGGTGACATGGTGGTTAAGGGCACTGGACTCCCACATGGCTGACCGCAGTTTAAGTCCCAGACCTGGTGGCTTGCTTTCTCACTTTCCCTCTCTCTCTCTGTCCCTCGCTGGTCAAATAAATAAATAAATAAAGTTAAGTAAAGTAATGTAAAAAAAAAAAAAAAAAGCAGAAGAAGAGGAGCTGGAAAATTAATTTAGGTATTTTAAATATTAAATAACATCATTATTTGATGTCCATAAATGACAGTTAAAAATCACCTCTTTGAGTTTTACTTTCTTGTTTCCAAAAACATTATCAATCATGTTTCTGATAGAAAGAAATAGGACTGAGATTCTGGTCCCTGGTTCTTTGATCTCTTTGTCACTGTTGCTGCGTATTCTAGATGAGTAGTTGCCACACAGGGGACATTTCAGGAAAACAAGCATTCTCAGGTTCTTTTGTGGTCATTGAACTCTTTGTAATGCAGTTTTCTTCGATGCAGGTCATATTTGACTATCAATATATTATTCAATATATATCATATTAAACAAGTAAATATTGATTTCACATAGTTGCTAATAAACAAAACAGAGTTTTATGGTGTCTGCATGTCCATAGTGATCATATGATTTTTTTGTTTGCCTTCCAGTCAGAGCAGAACGCTTACTGCCCTGACCATCTTGGCTTAATATACTCATAGGTCCAAGTTCTTTAATGTTCTGATAAACACATGCTCATTCACTGGATCAAACTTGTTGTAACATGGCACCTCTTACTTTGATTTAGAACAAGTTATACTGCTCTCCCTGCCATCCTCCCTTGCCCATACAATTCTGAACCTTATGTGTTCCCCTGTTCAATATTCCTTTAATGCTTCATATTAACAATCTGTATGCTCAAATTGTGGCAAAAATAAACTTATACATTGATCAAAATTTGGCAACACACCTATGGATTGTTCATGGCACATTCATTGAGAATCACTAATCTTAATTTTTTTTTTCTTTTTAGAAGAGGTTTTTGCTATAGGGTGCATGCACTTGCCAGAAAGACAGAGATAGAGAGACAGAAAGTGAGAAATCACCCCCCAGGGGGATGGCCATGCCACAATCCTTTCTCCTCCATTCTCCTCTCGGGATCTTGGGCACACAGGCACACGCGCCCGGCGTGAGTTTAAGGCACTGGGTCTAGGACTCAAACTGCAGCCGACTACATGAGAGTCCAGCGACATAGCCATTACGCCAACTGCTGGTCCCATTAAATTTTGATCTCATTGTCCTGAGGCTCCTACCATGGTGACATGGATTGGAGTGGATGTAATTCTGTAAGACTTTCTTTTCCAAACTTGGGAACAGGCAGGATCATAGTTTAGATCTCTTTTCCTGGGAGTTTTTCCTGTTCTTGGTCTTTTGCAGGAGCGCGGGCGGGGGAGATTCTTACCATTTCCTGTGCGAATGAGTTAGAGAAAGTCAAATCTAAGGAAAAAGAGATTTTGCACCAGTTCTGACCATTCATTATATTCAGACCATTCTCCTCCTGCTTCTCTGGCCTGATTGTGTGTTTAAGGATTCTCTAATGTCTACAGAGAGAATAAGGGAGGCTCAAGTTTTCTATGGCTGTTTGAGATGCCCTGGTGTAGAACTTTGAGAACATTTGGATACTTAATCTTTTAGTCTTTTTCTTCATGGTAAGAACTTCTAAAATGGCTTTAAAAATATACAGTTGGGCTGGCCCCATAACACAGTTGTTAGGTACTGTGCAGAGGAAGCCAGATCTCACTTGGCCAACCAGAGTTTGAGTCCCGGCCCCACTGGCTTGAAAAATACATCATACCCTTGGGAACCAGCAGTTAGCGTAATGGCTATGTCGCTGGATTCCCACGTAGTCGACCGCGGTTCGTGTCCCGGACCCGGTGGCTTAAAACTCACGCCGGGTGCGTGTGCGTGCGTGCCCAAGATCCCGAGAGGAGAATGGAGGAGAAGGGATTGCGGCGTGACCATCCCCCCTGGGGGGTGATTTCTCGCTTTCTGTCTCTATGTCTCTCTCTGTCTGTCTGGCGAACGCACGCGCCCTACAGTGAAAATCTCTCTCAAAAAAAAAAAAAAAATACATCATACCCAGAATCCTGATGGGACAGAGAATTGGAGGAAAAGGGGATTGTGGCATGACCAGGTCCTATTAGGGAGTGCTTCTGGGACCAGCAGATGGCATAATGGTTACATTGGTGGACTCCCAAGTGGTCAACTGCTGTTTGAGTCCTGGACCAAGCAGCTTAAAACTCATACCAGGTGTGTGTGTGTGTGCATGCCCAAAATCCTGGGAGGAGAGTGGAGGAGAAAGGATTGCAGTGTGGCAAATCACTGGGGGGGAGGGGGGAAGGTGATTTCTCTTTCTATTTCTCTTTGTCTCTCCAACCAGCGTATGAGCCCTACAACAAAAAACCTCTCAAAAGAAAAAAAAAAAAAGAAAAAGAAAACCACAGGAAAAAAATGTTGTCTTTTTGGTCATACTTACTGGATTCCCAGGACTATCTCCCTGGGAATGCAGGCTGCAGGAATGAATCTGTCCCCCAATCTGGGTTACAGCCTAGCTGGTTCCTATTTCTGGTATATATGTCTTCTAATTAACATCAAATTTCCTTGTTCTGATCCCCCACTTCTAATCACTTTTATTCTCTCTCTTCTGTGGGTAGGCAGTAATTATCATAGTGGAATTTTATTTGGACAACCCCATCATTCAATAATATTGTTTATTTTGGCTATTGAACCCATCAGTTGCATGAGACTTTCTACCATTTCTCTTTGTGGCTATTTAAAAAATTGCTTTGAAGTAAGTGGGAATTATAGCTTGGGTTGCTGTTAGAAAGTATTGTACCTTTTAAATCAATTTACTTAGCAAAATTGTATTACTGATCACACATCTTTTGTAAAGAAAAGGATATAATTTACCTAAACTGCACAAATTTAGTTTAAATATTAGAGTACTGGTTAACCGTCAAAATGAGGCCCCTATGAAGTGAGTGATTTGAATAGTCAGGAAGTTCCTTTTGATTTATAGGATTCTTAAGTGCTATTACCATCATTCCATAGATCCAATATCTCTATTCTTTGATTCTTATTTGCTTAAAAATTTCTTTGAAATTTTTGAAAAGTCACTATCAAGACAGAAGTCAATAGTTTAATACCAAATGACTTTTGGTCACTTGGTAAAAAAGTTCTGTGTGGTTTTTATGTATACTCAAGACTTTGGATTACTGAAATGTACTAACCATCAGGTATGGAAAATGAAATACATGATTTATGAAAAGTACTATATTTGGGTCCCACTAATAAAATTCTAGGGGTTGACAGGTGGTGTGGTGGGTGAGGGCACTAGACTCCCACATGGACCTGGTGGCTTGCTTTCTCACTTTCCCTCTCTCTCTCTTGCTCTGTTCCTCCTGGTCAAATTAAAAATAAATAGATAGATAGATAGAGTTTAAAAATTCTATATTTTTTCCAATGAAAATAAAGATCACATTTATCTCTTCTTCCTTCATCTGCCTCTTTATGTCCTCCTCTTCTTTTCCCCCTTTCTCTTTCTCAGACTTGTTTACAAGAAACCAAAAGGTTAGATAATATGGTGACCTCAATTCCAGGAGAACTTACAACCACTCTTACAGGGTTCTATTGGCAACTCAAAATTAGGTTGAATCACAAATTAAGACAAGTGAGGTTGCAAACTCTCTCTGAGTCAAGGCTTATGTTCCAGGCTATTTTAAGATCTGTTAGTGTCTGCCAGAATCTAGTTTACAGAATGATGCTGGAGAGACCAGAAATAAGGCAGAATCCAAAGCAAAGGTCTGTATCTAGTGCATGACCCTCTCAGTGTTTGTCTGGGTCTTACCAGTTGGGTGACTATGGAGTTATGGTGCTTTGGCAGATATTATGGTTGTAGAGTTACGGCGCAGATGTCATTGTTGATGGCGCTGTCCAAAAGAAGGTAGACCAGATCTTTGATCTAGGATGCCTGAGATGTTGATAGCTGAGACCTAGATAAAATAATAGTTTATGCAATTCACTCTGGAGAGTGGCCAAAGCTGCCTCTCAGCATCCGACAGCTGGAGCCCAGCCACCTGGGCTGGCGTTGTTCAATTAATGCCCCTTTCCCAGGTAAGGCCTGTCTGTTGTCTCAGCTCTTAACATACGGAAGGGCAGCAGGAGTCCAAAACCTTCTCCTGCCTTTCTTCATGGCTGGCAGAAGAGCATCAGAGGGTGCTTTTCCTTTATAGATGTCTAGATCAAGAGTCTGATTGTTTGAGGAATAATAATAATTTGGCAATAGATATCAAACACGGTGTATGTTGTGAACCCTTTGTTTAGAACTTAATGTGAACTGTCTTGTTTAGTTCTTATGGCCTCTCTATGAGGAAGTTACTATGCATATTCCTGTTTTGTAGAACAGGTTCCTGAGGCTTAGAGAAGGTAAGTACTTGTTCAAGGTTACACAGCTCTTAAGTGATGGGGGAACTGGGCTTTATCACCAGGCATCCTGCTTCCAGAGGCTGAGTGCTTTTCCACCACCATATTGTCTCCAGAGGCCTCCCGAAAATAAGGCCTGGGGCCTGACTCTGAATTCCCCACTCTGCCATTTTCCATATAAGCATATTTATTTCTTTCCTCTGAGCCACAGTATTTTATCTGTGAAAAAGAAATTTTAAAATGTACAGGTAATACAGTTGTTTTGAGTACTTAGTGTATGTAAAATTCTTAGTGAAGCCAGCAGGTGGCATCATGCTTAAGACACTGAACTCCCACATGGCCAATTGCACAAGTCCGAACTCTGTGGCTCAAAATTCACACCAGGCATGTGTGTGTGTGTGCTGAAAATCTGAAGAAGAGAATGGAGAAAGGATCGCAGCATGGCCATACTCCCTGGGGGGGTGATTTCTCACTGTCCCTCTCATTGTCTCTGTCTCTCCGGTGAGCCCATGTGCCCTATAACAAAAACCTTTAAAAAAAGACTAGTATGGAACCAGCAGTTAGCGTAATGGCTATGTCGCTGGACTCCCACGTAGTCGACCGCAGTTCGTGTCCCGGATCCAGTGGCTTAAAACTCACGCCGGGCGCGTGTGCGTGCGTGCCCAAGATCCCGAGAGGAGAATGGAGGAGAAGGGATTGCGGCGTGACCATCCCCCCTGGGGGGTGATTTCTCGCTTTCTGTCTCTATGTCTCTCTCTGTCTGTCTGGCAAGCGCACGCGCCCTACAGTGAAAATCTCTCCAAAAAAAAAAAAAAAGAAAGACTAGTATTTCCTGATATAGTAAATACTCCATAAATAACTAGTCTTATTAAAGTAGGTTCTACAAAAACAACAGCAACAATAATGATAAACTTGCTTGGCTCCAAAGTAAAGCATTGTTAGGAAGATAAAGAATATCTGTGATTGCATAAACCCTTACTGGGTAAGTGTATAATATCCTTACAGGCTCATTCTTTTCTGAAAACCAGACTGGAAGGACTATCAGATTTGCTGAAATTCTATAGAGCATGTGTGGAACAAAGAGCCATGAAGTAGGAATTGAAAGGCTGGAATTTTAGGCGGGGATTTATAGTGAACTAGCTCGGTGAGTTTAAGCTAATTCTGTATTGTATTGTAAATACCTCTAAGCCTTGTATTATATTTTTCTTTTTTCTAAGAACAACAAGGGACAGAGTTTGGGAATGGAGGCCAGTAAATTAGAAGTGTTCATAGATGGGGACCAGCAGGTGGTGTGATGGTTAAGGTACTGGACACTCCCACATGGCTGACCACGGTTTGAGTCCTGGACCTGGCAGCTTGCTTTCTCAGTCTTTCTCTGTCTCTCTCTGGTCAAATTAAAATAAATAAATGAATAAATAAA